TACTACCACCTACTACCACCTACTTCCACCTACTACCACCTACTACCACCTACTACCACCTACTACCACCTACTACTACCTTCTACTACTACCTACTACTACTACTACAACTACTACTACAACAACAACAACAACTACTACTACTACTATAACTATACTACTACGGCTACGGCTACGGCTACGTGCTGCTACTTGCTACTTGCTACGGCTTGCTACTACTTGCTACTACTTGCTACTACCTGCTACTATTTGCTACTACTTTCTACTGCTTGTTACCTCTTGCTACCTCGTACTCTTCTTACTAGCCTTACTCCTCTTACTCCTCGTACTCTTCTTACTACACTTTCTACTCTGATTACTTTCTCCCGAGAGCGTCTGAGCGCAGGGTTCTTCCAATAGTGGCTTCTGTAAACATCTTCTCATCTTCACATCTTCTCATCCTCACATCTTCTCCTCTTCACCTCTTCTGATCTTCACATCTTCTCATCTTCACATCTTCTCATCTTCACATCTTCTCATCCTCACATCTTCTCCTCTTCACATCTTCTCATCTTCTCATCTTCACATCTTCTCATCCTCAGATCTTCTCATCTTCTCATCTGCTCATCTTCACACCTTGACATATTCACATCCTCACATCTTCTCATCTTCTCATCTTCACATCTTCTCATCTTCACATCTTCTCATCTTCACATCTTCTCATCTTCACATCTGCTCATCTTCACATCTTCTCATCTTCACATCTTCTCATCCTCACATCTTCTCCTCTTCACATCTTCTCATCTTCACATCTTCTCATCCTCAGATCTTCTCATCTTCTCATCTGCTCATCTTCACATCTTCACATATTCACATCCTCACATCTTCACATCCTCTCATCTTCACATCCTCACATCTTCACAGCTGCTCATCTTCACATCTTCTCATCTTCACATCTGCTCATCTTCACATCTGCTCATCTTCACATCTGCTCATCTTCACACCTTCTCATCCTCACATCTTCTCATCTTCTCATCTTCACATCCTCACATCTTCTCCTCTTGTCCTCTTGCCCTCTCCTTCTTTTCTATTTCTCTCTTGAAGGCGGGGGGCAGGGGCAGTGCCAACGAGACGGCACGAAACGCAACCCTTTCGCAGGAAATGAGGTTCGATCGCCAAAAAATGAAGTAAAATTGCGATTTCAAGTGGTCCGGCGCAACCCTTTCGCACGAAATGAGGTTCGATCGCCAAAAACTGAAGTAAAATTGCGATTTGCAAGTCGTCCCGCGAACCCTTTCGCACGAAATGAGGTTCGATCGCCAAAAACTGAGGTAAAATTGCGATTCGTCTGTGTGTAAAAGCGTCTGTGTGTAAAAGTGTCTGTGTGTAAAAGTATCTGTGTGTAAAAGCGTCTGTGTGTAAAAGCGTCTGTGTGTAAAAGCGTCTGTGTGTAAAAGCGTCTGTGTGTAAAAGTGTCTGTGTGTAAAACTGCCTGTGTGTAAAAGCTTCTGTGTGTAAAAGCTTCTGTGTGTAAAAGTGTCTGTGTAAAAGTGTCTGTGTGTAAAAGCGTCTGTGTGTAAAAGCGTCTGTGTGTAAAAGCGTCTGTGTGTAAAAGCTTCTGTGTGTAAAAGCTTCTGTGTGTAAAAGCTTTTGTGTGTAAAAGCGTCTGTGTAAAAGCTTCTGTGTGTAAAAGCGTCTGTGTGTAAAACTGTCTGTGTGTAAAAGCGCCTGTGTGTAAAAGTGTCTGTGTGTAAAAGTGCCTGTGTGTAAAAGCGTCTGTGTGTAAAAGTGTCTGTGTGTAAAAGCTTCTGTGTGTAAAAGCTTCTGTGTGTAAAATCTTTTGTGTGTAAAAGCGTCTGTGTAAAAGCTTCTGTGTGTAAAAGTGTCTGTATGTAAAAGTGTTTGCGATGCAAACTATTGTCTTGTACTTGTGCTATATTGTCTTGATACTACTCTTCTCGTCTGCCTATAACACATCTTTAACATATTGGTTTGTAATATGGTGTCTCCATACTAACAAGAGAAGACCCTGCTCCTCTACGCTCTCGGGCCATCCGTCGTCTAGTACTACTCTTACTACTCTGACTACTCTTACTGCTCTTACTGCTTCTACTGCTCGTACTGCTTGTGCTGCTCGTACTACTCTTGCTGCTCTTACTAATCTTACCATTCTTACTACTTCTGCCACTCTTACTAGTCTTACTACTGTTGCTACTCTTACTGCTCTTGCTACTCTTGCTACTCGTGCTACTCTTGCTACTCTTACTGCTCTTACTACTCTTAGTACTCTTACTACTCTTAATACTCTTGGTACTCTTCATACTCTGAATACACTTAGTACTCTTAGTACTCTTGGTACTCTTGGTGCTCTTAATACTTCTAGTACTCTTAAAACCTTCAATACTCTTAGTACTCTTAGTACTCTTACTCCTGTTAATACTCTTACTGCTTCTACTACTCCTACCCTCACCCCTGCTACTACACCATGACCACCACGACCACGACCACGACCACGACCACCACCACCACCGCCGCCGCCGCCGCCGCCGCGAACTGCTACTGGTCGAACCGTTTCCATGAACTACTACTGGTCGAAGGATATTTAGATGTCAAATTTCCGACAATATGGACAGATGGTAAAGCAGAGGTGGGAAGAATCAGAGAAGAGACAGAAAGAAGAGCAGAGAAAAGGAAGAGTCAAAACAAAGAAGATGCAGATGCGCGAAAAGTTAGAAAAGTCGCGAAGCGCCGCGATTTCCAATGTTTCATGGCTGCGGAGGGTCGAAAAATAGGCTCGCTAAAGCCGCGGGTGTGGAGCCATTTGGGCAAATGCGAAACGAAAAATTGCACGCACGCCGTTGTGGCACGAAACCTGCTTGGAAGTGAGCGTGCCAAAAAAACAACATGTTCGGACCACCGTTGGAAGTTGAAATGTTGAAAAGTGCACGCTGCTGTGGTGCGGGACGCGTGTCGAAGTGAAAAGCACTAAAAACTGACGGCCTCGGAGCACTTTTTAGAAATTGAGATGTCAAAAACCTTCATGCCATTGTGGCGTGGAGCACATTCGCAAGTCAAAAGTGTTAAAGGGCGCTGGCCTCGGACCATCTTGGACGTTCAGATGATCACCAGCACTAACACTAGCACTAACGCTACAGCTGCAACTGCAACCACAACTACAAGACGCTACAGCAACGACCCGAACTACACCTACAAGTTCACTACATCACAACTACAACTAGAGCTACAACTACAACCCGACTACACTAGACTAATCGACACTAGACATGTTACAGTACACTTGTTATAGTACACAAATTACAACACCCTAATTACAGCGCACTAAATACTAATTCCACCCGCTACAACTACAACTACCCCCAACTACGACAACACTACGCTACACTACGCTACACCTACAACACACTACACTGCCCTGCGCTGCACCACGCTGCGCTAGACGACAGCCACAACTACAACCACAACTAAAACTGCTAATACGGCAAGCATTACACTACCACTACAACTACAACTCCATCTCCAACTACACTACGCTACACTGCACTGCATTACACTACTTCACAACTGCAACTTCCATTCACCACATCCAGCAGAATCCAGCAAGTGTAAATCCGGTGACTGCTGCAACCGCTCCAAGAAGCACAGCTCCAACCACCTTTCGGCCCATCAGTGGGTTTGCGCTTACATCCGTGCATCACAACAACTCACCTGTCCGATAGGTTTCCTGTCACACAGGCGCATTTACACAAAGATGCCTTTACGTACAGATTCCTTACACGCAGGGGCTTGTACATGGACGCTCTCATACACAGACACCTTTTACACACAGACGCTTTTACACACAGACGCTTTTACACACAGATGCTTTTACACACAGGTGCTTCCACACAAAGGCACATTTACACACAGGTGCACACCCGGGGCCATGCTTTCCACATAAAAGCACCATTCCGCATCTACCCGAACCGCCAAAAAGGATACCTCTTGCAGCAATCACCATAAGCTCCGCATTTGCGACCCCATGAGAGCTTCGCGGCAGGCTCAAGCCTGGTTGTCACCAAGTGCCACACTTGCCACACAATTACGCTGGCAAGAGACCGCAAACAGTGTGGGGGGGGGTTGGCCGTCAATGTACCAGATACTAGCAGCAGTAGCTATGGACCAGCAACAGATGAAGTTAGACGTGATCGCAGCTGCAGCAGCAGGACCTGCTATATAGATCTATACCAGAGGAGCTCACAAGATCTTGACACAAGAACTTCCTATGAGCGTCCCAGAAAACTTTCAGACAAGCGCCAGCGCAGAGGATCTTCAAGATCTTAACGCGAAGACCTCTTTGACGAGGATTGCAACAGGATCTCCACAAGAGCTTCCCACAAGGACTTCTAAAAGACATTGACCAAGATCTTCACGCCAGGACCATGAAGAGAAGCTCGCAAGATCCTCAAAGAAGGACCTGCTGCTGTCGGAGCGGATGTTACAAGATCTTGATAGAAGAATCCCCCAAGAGCCTTCCCAAGACCTTTCATACAGGCACCTCTAAGACATGGCAAGCTCCTAATGCAAGGACCTCTCAGAAATGATCCCGCCAGGATCTCCACAAGATCTTCTGTTAAGGACCGGTGCAGGATCATGCAAGGATCTCTTAGAGAGGAATTTAGCAGGATGCCCACAAGAGCCCATTTATGGGCGAACTTATGGACAAGCAGGAAGGTAACCACACAAGGCAAGGTACAATTCAAGGGTAGGAACGACTTTAAGAGACGCGAGCAAGAGGGGCTATGGAAACGGTACTGGATCAGACCAGACATTCTCGGAGTCGAAGCAGCAAGAATTCTTTTGGGTCACCAGAAGCAAACCTATGCCTGCTCATCAAGACCGCCGTTTTGTGCGAGCCTGCGACATCGAAATGCACATGGACCGCCGAAAAAATCCATTGTACGCCAGAATTTGCCGGGGCCCAAGATGGAGACGCACAGTTTGCACGAGCCTGCGCAGTTGAAATGCACACAGACATGTCACAAGAACCAGTTTACGCGAGAATTTACGCCAGCCAGGCCCAAGATCGGGAGCATGTCGCAAGAACCAGTTCATGCGAGAATTTACAGGAAAAAAGGCCGGGGCCAAGATCGGGATGCACAGTTTGTGCGAGCCTGCGCAGTCGACAAGCGGACAGTCCACAAACACCATTCCACGCGAGCATTTAAAGGAAAAATGCCGGCGCCCAAGATCAAGAAAAAGTCGCGGGGCAAACTTTCGTGCGAGGCTGCGCAATCGAAATACACACCGGACATTTCAGAAGAGTGCGAGAATTTACAGGAAAACCCCAGGGGCCAGATGGAGCACCCTCATCTAACCCCGGCGTGACCGCTACTGTGGGAACCCCCAGCGTGGACACAGTGTTTGGGGAAAAAGCACATTTCACACCTTCAAAGCGGCACCTTTGCAGAATTCGCTATAGGCAGTGCAGGACGCAAATTAGAGACTTGCAAAACACTTCGTGCCTGAATGCCACCAAATACCACGCCTCCCACGCAAAAAAACCGAAATGATAATTTCGAAGCGTTATCTTTTGCAAACTTCCCTGTGGGCAAGAGCGAGATGCGCTTAAAGGGAAAACGAAAGTGTGCTACAAACAAGGCCGCGCCCCAAGACCTCGCACCAAGAAAATAAGGAACCTGCGCTAGGCATTCGGAGAAAAATAAGAATAACACGGCGCACAAACTGACCCCCTTTCGGCCCCGCTGGATGTAATTCTTGACGATCCTTGGTGATGTCTGGCAAAGTCAGCAAAGCGCCCATGAGGCGCTGTAAGATTTCGGGAGTGTCGATGCGGCTCTTGTAGTCGTTGTTCAGCATACCTCGGAAAGACATCAAATTGAACCTATGGCCATGGGCTCTTGTCGGTTTGTTTGCTTTGGGGCGGCGTAGAGAGGGGGCTAACCCCTAATTCATCTGTGAAGATGGGTGTAAAGACAAATGACAGGAAAATGCCATACTATCTAATCTAGCGCTGACAAAAAGAAAAGGTTCAGATCTTGAAATGAAAACCGTACAAGCCAGCTATGCTATCACAAACAAACTGGGAAGGCAAAACGTGGCAGGAATCTAAAGGTATATCAACTATCAGGAAGAGAGCTAAAAAAGAACTCGTTAGAATGTAAACCGCTGAAAATTCAGCTACTTTGATCGCCACCAAAGCGCTGATCACCAAGCGATCGATCTCTGATTGCTCTGCATTGTCGGACTGAGGGATGATTGTGTCTTTGGTCGGATCGTAATTCCTGGTATTCCCGTCGCGGAAGAAAGCAGGCTGCTCACCATACACGAACCTCAAAGCATAGGCTCAAAAGACAAGCAGCGGTCTGCTACTCCATGTTTGCTGGAAATACGTGGTTACGTGGCCGCACATGCAGCTGCAAACGCCTAGATCTTCTAATCACAGGATGCGGACGGGCCACTTGCAACAAGCGGCGGCACTTTGTGGCACAGTACTTTGTTAAACCGAGGAGCATATAAAGGACAACGCCCAATGAAAAAATATCATTCTGAGGTTGGCTGCTTCCAAACATATTCAAGACTTCAGGCGCCATGTAGCCGGGTGTTCCAGAAGGCATACGCGTGCCGAACTCTGCAGACACCCCCAAATCAATAATGTAGGCAGAGCACCTGAAAGTCAACGTGTGGTTATGCCATGCGCTCTCCTAAGTGCACATAAAAAAGTGGTTTGAAAGCTCGCGTTCCTTTCAGTTCAATCCAGCCCTATTCTCTGAGGAACTTTCCCGCAACGCAATTCATCATGATATTCTCCAACTTGATATCCATATGGACCAGGCCCTTGCTGTGCATATCTTGTACGCCCAAGACCGCTTGGTAAAAAAGCGCCAGGACATACGCATTGCTGTACGGACCGCCAATCTTGTCCCAGCATGTTCGTGCGATCCCTTCTTTGCTGCATCGGCAGCCGTCTGTCTCTACACACTTCTTCATTAGACCAAGAAGATCGCCACTGTTCATGAAAGGCGTCAGAATATACATCGAGTCAGACGTCTCCAAGTAGTCGGGCTTTCCCACAGTGGAAATCACGTGTTTGGAATCTTTCATTCCTGAGACAAGGAACCGTAGGAAACCGCAAGGAACCGCAGGAAGGATGCAAATTTTGGTGTGACAAAGCCTGCAGCCTTTGTGCTGAAAAGACTCGACGCAACGCCTTGACCTCGCGGAAAGCGTCTGAATCTTTTACCTTGGCAGGTAGCACGTGTAGCACATGCAGCGCGTGCATCCAAAGTGGATGTTTGAACACAATATCCGACCCGTTCAAAACTTCTGGGCTTGTACACAAGGCATGTCATATCCCAAAAACACGTTTCACAACAGGACCACAGAGCTATTCCGTTGTTTCGGTCCAGCTGTGCCGAAAATATTCGATAGAATCCGATAGAATGCTTTATGACCGCCCAGGCTTTTTGGTATTTAGAAACTAAGAAGAGGCCTGTGCACGGCACAACCGACGTTTCGCAAAAGCGATAATGCAACCTGACGCCAGCTGTCCACATGGCTCTTGCACAATTGTGTTTCCGTAAAAGTCCCGCCGAGAAAAGATGTCCGGCGTGTATGCCTAGGTCTAAATAAATATGGAAAAATTGAGCCTCAGCGTGCAAGAAAGTTCTATGGCCACAAGAAAACAAAGGGAGCAAACTTACAAGCATGAAATTCCACAAGCCCGAGGTTTGCTGAACCGATGGTATGCTAAGATGGCTCAAACAAATTTGTGGGTGGAACAGAATATCAACCACACTGGCAAAAGGCCTCAAGCTACCGTTGTTCATCACCCGTTTTTATTGGTTCTTTCCCGGAAGAAAGCCATGATGACACGGACACAGCTACCAAAACAAGTTCGAACGTGAAACATTTTTGGAAAAACGCCCTTTCTATATTGCGGGCCACAACATTGCCAAACTAGAAATCCATGCAATTTCCCCTTCAGTCCTATTCTGTCTCTTCTTCCCTGCTGAAAATGAAAACCAAAAAATCCATTACAATTACATCCCAAAAGGACCCCAAGCCACCAGATCGTCCCCTTTCTGAGCCACTGACCCGGGAACCTTTTTTTCTTTTAAATTGCTAAGGTGCAAGTGAGGGGTGGGTGATGTTGTTGGTGGTGTGCCCCGCAACTGACTGGTGTTTTTGCTTACTGTTGCCTTTCATGGAATGCCAAGCTGCGGAAAGCGTGGTTTTTGAAGGAAAAACTTTTTGCTTGCAGCATGTTTATGACATTGTTGCATGAACACCCCTATTACCCGTTTCAGACACATGCCGCCCAAACTCATTCATGTCATTCACTTTGCAACGTTTTGACTTTGGACAGCGCGATGAAACAAACAAAGACAAGAAAACAACTCATGAAACCACAGTGAGAAAAACAAACTCCTCTGTTCAGAAAAGCTTCAGGAAAAATACTGCAGCGAAGCGCTGCCAAGAACAAGAATGACTCCCTTGCCACGTCACGGCATGCCAAGAAAGCGTGCTACCAAGAAAACGCTGAAACACAACGATGCCGATGATGCGAATCAAAGTTGGGCATTTCACAAAGGTTTCGGTGAGACATGGTGAGACTGCTTTCCTTTTCGCGCATGATCTTGCTGCTCCCTGTAGAGTTCTGAGGTTTTTGTCAAACAGTGTTGGGGCTTACTGTAGTAGTTAATTAAGGCCTGGTGTTCAATCAAGGTGGTCTCCGGCGTGTCCGGCAACTTTGGTGACCCTTACAGCACAAAGTTCCTCCCTCTTCCGTTTTCGAAGGAAATCAGTCTTGCACGAAATGGCGGCTGGGAGACCTCTCTTCGGAAGGTCCTTGGTTTTTGTCCTAAGTTCATGTTTTGTGGCTTGCCAAACTTGGGCTCAACATGGCCAACTTGGCCCAACATGGCCCAAAACTTGGCCCAACATGGCCCAAACATCGCCCAACATGCCTAACCATAGCGCCAGTACAGGCCCATCATGGGCAACATAGGCCCAAGATGGGCTCCGCATGGCCCAAATTGGCCCAACATGGCCCAACATGGGCCGAACATGGCCCAACATAGGCCCAACATGTTTGCCAAAGCGCCAGTATAGGCCCATCATGGGCAACATAGGCCCAAGATGGCCCAACATGGGCCCAACGTGGAGCCAACATTTGCCCAACAAAGGCCCAACATGGGCCCAACTTGGGGCCCAACATGGGCCCAACTTGGCCCAACATAGGCCCAACATGCTTGCCAAAGCGCCAGTATAGGCCCATCATGGGCAACATAGGCCCAAGATGGCCCAGCATGGGCCCAACGTGGAGCCAACATGTGCCCAACAAAGGCCCAACTTGGCCCAACATGGGCCCAACATAGGAGAACCGCCGTTGAGAACAAATGCGAAGACATTAAAACAGGAGAAAAGGGCGCGCAAAGCAGCAGACAAATCCAAAAATGCACGCAACAAAAACAACCGCCATTCAACAAGAGCACGGGAATTTAAAGATTTGACGGCCCTGTTTCAAGGTACCCATTACATTCTCAACAACATGAAGAATTCATCATTGTAATCTTGTAACATTCTTCGTCTTGCCTTCTTTTGCGCGTCTGTGCATCTGTTCCCCGGTTATTTTGCCCAGTGACAAAGCGTGGCTCTTCTCCAAAATCCAGCTCTCCAAAAAAGCACACTTTAATCATTTAATCGTAACTACTTCTGAATGCCATGACACTATCTATGGATATTCGGAGTATCTGTGTAATGCGTCGATTTTTTCAAATAAATGGGGGGCCCGGGGGGGGTCCGCTGAGAGGCCATGAATTTCATCGACACGAAATGGTCCTTTGTCCCGTCGCAAGTGGCTGCTAGCTGGTAGATCCTACCAAAGGCACCAGAACCCAACTCCTTCACTATCTTCATGCGGTCCTGGAGCCAACATGCCAACATGAGTCATCAAAAAACACGCGCGCAACGAAACACACCATTGAACGAAACGATGTACGACGGATGTCAAACTTTTTGCGTCCTTCCAAACAGCAGGCAGTTCCTCCACCGTTGGGGGTTTCTCCTTGCAGGAACGAACAGTTGAGCATGCAGTGAACGAAATCCAATTTGTGCACACAGCTTTTGCAGCTATTGGCAGATTGGAGGAACACTGCCCCCAAAGCTGACATGTGAAACATATTGAAAAATGAAGCATCCCAAATATGGATCATTCCCTGAGATATCTGGGGACTGCAAGCTTCAGCTGTTCCATGATCATGTCAACAAATCTGAAAAGATTATTACACGATAGATGCACAAAATGAATATCGAACATATTGAAACATATTGAAATATATTGAAATTCAGATGCAATGAATGCAATGCACATCCTCTGTGTCTCCTGGTGGACGGTGAGATTCGCTTTCAAACGCTCCAGGCCAGTGGCATTGAGCCCCATGCGTCTCTGGAGGTCAAATTCGCGAACGGATGCCTCGCCGAACAAATCGCACAAGATGATTCAACATGATTCATTGAAGTTTCATGCTATTTCATCATGATTGTTGCACCCTTCTTGTATGTGGCAAGCGCACTGGCTACTGGAAAGGATAGGCTACTGGCTACTGGTTCTAGACTTGTTTCTATTCCAGTGTTTGAATTTTCCCTTTACCTGACCGGCGGAGCGTGCTGGCCATGAACGTGCCTCATCAGTCTCAAGGGTGTCACCGGTGTCCAGATCGGATCGTATGGCTGCTATTGGGATGCCAAGGAGGCACCACAGATAGATGAAAAGAGCCATGGCTTTGGCAGGCAGTGGATGTGAATCCTTGCAATGAGCCGAGGCTTGGCTCGCAAAGTCTGCAGGGCAAAACTCTTCAAACTGCTGGTATCTTCTGTAACTCTCATCTATTGTCATTCGAATCATTTATAATTTATAAGTCTTCCCAATGTTCTTTTATCTTTCTTTGTTCCAACGGGTTGTTTGACGCATAGAACCCTCACTGATCTGCATCCCGCGCATCCTGGCAAACCCTCCCTTTTCACCACACGCGCTTGAGGTCGCAGAAAGACTTCCATCGTACAAGCTCAGAGCCATCGTGTTGAAAGCTTTGAGATCCTTGTGGCGATTCGGTGGAAAATGATCTGGATGCTGATCCTTGAGGATCTCTGGATGCCACGGGCGATCTTTCGAAGCTCCGCAAATTTTCTGAAGAAACTTCTTCCAGCTTGGCTTTTTCGACTTGGACCCTGAAACCACGCGATGAAGTGGAGCTATTTGTTCCCAAGGCCGCATAGCTTTCCGCCCAGTCACCTTGCAAGAGATGGCAGAGACCGCCAAAACAAACAGCTTTCAAGAAAGATAAGCAACATGATTCCTTCATTATCATCTTCCTGATATCCCTTTATGCGAGTTGCAAAAGTTATGAAGCAAAAAGACAGCTCCAGATTTAAACATTGGCACGGGCCTTTTGTCCTCTGCAGGACATATTGTCAGACAGTTGAACTCTACCAGTTTGAATGATCGGTTGTCCCCATTAGCAACCCAACCCCACCGTTCTCCTGCATGTAAAGAACATGTAAGGAAACATCGGATGGCCCTATTTTCAAGGCATTCTGGCTTGCGGATTGCATCGGCTTGCCTTCTCCGGCCAGCCGACCAACGTCAACGTTGCCATAGCCCCAGCCGCAATCAGCATCATACCAATCACCAGCATCACCAGCGCCACGTGGCTTCCACGCATGGTATGTCAGCACTGAAAGTGGAAGAACTTCGAAGCAAAGCAAGCACGCCTCAGCGCGCAAGTGCGTGACGCTTATAGAAAAAGCGGCAAACAAAAACAAGGAAAACTCTTGAGCAAATCTCTCTGCTTGAAGATTGGACATGCTATGAATATTTTTCAAGCAAACAAGACCAATGGCTTTCTAAGGTCAGCTTGTGCACTGTTCCCAGACCGTGGTTCTGAATTTTTCAGAAGGAGCTGAGGTACAAGAAAGGTTTGGATCACAGCACTTCGCCAAACTATGAACATCATTTAAAAATCATCAAACCTCATCGAAGCTTGGCGAACGTCAAAAAGCCAAAGTTGCGTTGCAGAGATTCGCTTCATCGGATTTTAGGAGGTCCCGCTTGTGGAAAAGGCTGATCACCAGGGACTGCATGCAGGTCACCGTGACCAAAACCTGTCAAGCCATGAGCCAAATTTCAACTTCATGAGCCATGACAAAAAGCACGTTTTCAACACTGCCCATGGGGTATCTATCGTTGATGTATATGCTGATGTCAAAGGAGATGTGATTAATTGTAACTAGGTATTCTATGGCATTCTATGGCATTCTATGGTATTCTATGGTCGTGTGAATTCGTATCTTGGGTTACATCTTAAAACGCGGATACTTACTGACCCAGGTGGTAGAACCGAGTAAGACCCAACCAAGAAAGACATTTCTAACGACTCATATGGGTCAATTTGGAAGAGATCGACATTGATCGACGCTCAAGGTGACAAGGTGGAGCTGTGCGAGCCCTGCGCTGCGCACCTTCACACCCAGAAATTTCAGCACTGGCGCGAACCCTTCCAATCGCAGAATCTGATGGAATCCGTGCTCTATAGCGATCAAGCTCAAAATGGCCTCAGGCCGAAATCAGATCAATTTAGAGCGGTATAGAGTCGGACTGCAAAGAGTGCATCACCTTTCTGCTCTACATGCGCTGCAACAAACTCAAACCTGATCCTGCATGGTTTCCGACAGTCTATGTATGTTCGTACGAACAAGGTTTCTTCACAAGAATAATTAACCAATGCAATGAGCAGTGATAAGAAGATAAAAGAACCATATGCGCCATATGCGCCATACACCATATGCAGATATATGCAGCATAGATCACCATAAAATGCGCCAGGCATCGATAGTGGAAGACACGAATGCTGCTCCATCCATAAGGGGAAGGAGGCTGCAAACCCACGGAACTTGATCGCAGAGTCTGATGTGAAAGGTGTCTGCCACGAAGGTGACGGTCAGAGCAAACCTGGCGAGTCACCGGATTGTGAGCCGTTCGGGAGAGAACGACGCAGCGCAACACTCTTGGAACGCACTTGAAACATACTTAAGTATGTTGACCTCCTGATAAAACAAATTCAAATTGAATTCATTTCAACTCCAATCGCAATTCTGTGTAGTCCAAAATGACTTTCAATGTTCGTGCGGTTTGTAGAAACAAATCAGGGCTGTGCAAACGAGGGCTGGGCGGGGTTAGGATTAAGGCTTGGGGCCATAACATGGGTTAGGGTGGAGCTACGAAATATCGAAATATCTGCCACCGGCTGAAATTCGTGGCTGAAACCTGCCGAAAAAACACATGAACAATCATGGGCCATTGCATTTCAACCAGAGTCGGTTCCTTTAAACGCTCCAGGACTTGTGCACTTTGCTGACCGTCATGCTGTTTGGCTTCGGCTCTCGATCAAAACTCAGCCATGGCGCAATGACTTCGCGACACAGGTGTACACGAAGAACTTCACACCTGAGCGTTACTAAATGAAGTTCACATGACTGGAGCTGGAAACTGTTTTGAGTTGTCCCAAGGGAAACCAAAACCCATGCAGTTTCTTGATTTTTCCAATTGCGTGGCATTTTTTGACAGTCTTGTGGACATCATCTGAGGGCCTAACCGATGCCAGTTGTGACTTCCAGAGGCCGAAAAAGAAAATGCTCAGGGTCGCGGAAAATCAGAATACCTCGTTGCTGATCTTCATCCAAACTTGCCAAGGACGCACGGAGCATAGGCACTTCTTGTCCTCGTGACAGAACAAAGCCAGTCAGGTGAAATCACATCGAGTGAGAATAAAGTGAGAATAAAGGCCATGGCATGGCGGTGAAAAACTGAATCCAAAGGTCACCAAAACCAGTTCTGTTTCACATGCCACGTCCAGACTAGCTGACAGCAGCATCATCGTATCTGTCAAGCTGCGAATCTGTCGGCGGATGCGCATCAAGCACAAGCGGCCGAAATTGTACAGAGCCCATGCTTCACACAAATCCTCGGTTGCTGCGGCACAACTACAACACAACTGCAACGCATCGCTGGTGTTTCAATTTTCCAGCTGAGGTTGCCACCGCAAGCTCCAAGTTACTGCTGTAGCGCTCCTGCCGGGTATGCAATCTGCAGGCAACTTTTGAATCCGAACATGGCGGGCATAGACGGTATGGAAAAAAATACGTAAACTCTTTGGATTTGTGGGGTGCTCATCTAACAGACTTGTGGAGCACTGCCCGGCTCCTCCGTCATGTGGCGCATCATGTCCAACATTTTCGGGGAGACAGCTTCATTAACAAAGCACTGGCCAGTCATCAGCAGCAACGTCTGAATCACACAGTCCAATGAAAAAACGCCATAAATCCTCAGATGCGCTTTGCATATCCGCACACGGATGGAAACGCAAATTGCACAATGTATTCTGCAGTGTCCCCGCAAAGACAAGTGGCAAGATGTGAATGTTGAAATTTGCCGAGGCACAATGGCATTGCTGCAACTTGCATCGCCAAATCGTGGCTATGGGAAGGATACCAATGGAGGCCTGCCCTCATCCCAGCTCATCCCAGCTTGTCTCATATCTTTACATCATAACACGGCCGATTTCCCAAAATGAGGCTCGAATATGGAGAGCAAAGTGTTCTGAGAGTCTGAGTCATCCTGCCATGCCTCTGTCAAAAGCCCGCTCCAAATTCACATGATGACGCCACAGATGCACAAGAGTCACCTCGGCCAAGAATTCAAAACCACATGACGCACCAAGTTGTAGACAATATTGAAAGGCCCCAGCACCCCGATAGACCCAGCAAAGCTACGTTAAAGAATCTCAAGAACATGGAGGTTGCACATGGTGAGGTTGCGCATGGTGTCTGGGCAACCCGGAAATGTAACTGGCGACTGCGAAACATGAAGCTGGTGACATGGTGATCATGATGTGTTGGGCAGCGCCCTAATTGCACCCAGCTACGTTGAGTGTCAAAGAACCCTGCAAATACTGAAGCTACATACAAAGATAATTATATAAATAATATATATATATTTATATATATGTGTATACATATATATATAACATATATTACATAATCACATTTTCAATGATCTTCAACTTGCCGCTCGCCCTGGGGCCAGTGGCCATCCCTGTGAAGATCGTCACGATGGGCGTCGCAATGGCCATGAGTCGAAGGACGTCCACGACAGGTTCCCTGTGTGGCCGCCTCGAGAAAGGCCATCGCGGGAAGTTCTCCTCGTCTAACCAATGCGAGGCCTCCAGGGATCCAGATCTGAGCCAGGTGAAGATATGAAAATGAAGAAAATGAAGATGGAAAGTCATATTTTTATAATGATGTAGATATGGAACGATAATGGAGATATGATGAATGATGATGAATGATATGGAATGATATGCTTACACCAGGAAAACATGTGACGCAATGATATTACAAGAGGTTCTAATGAACGTGATATTCACAAATAGCAAACATGGCCTGCAATGACTTTGGGTTGCTCTACCCTACCAGACATAAGTGCATAAGTGATGCATAAATGCAACCAGTTTTTGGATCCACAGCTTTCATCGCTAGGCACCATGGCAGTTCTTGGATGTCACTTTCCTGCCTGCATCAAGTCCCACATCTGCATGCAAGACTCACCCAGCAAATAGAGGAAGACGCAATGAAAAAGAACATACCTCAACTGTTTCAACATGAAAAACTGATTCAACTGTCATCTAGTGTCATCAACTGTCACAAAATCATTCCACGAAAAACGGTGAATATTCTAAACGGACATGCAGCATGCATGTGGTAATTCAAGCGTTGTGCATGCGCTACACTGGAAACCTCTCTTTTGATGGGCCTCTCTCAAAATCTCTCAAATAGCATTTGGCATTGACCTGAAATCTCACCTGTACTTTGCGCCCTATAAAAGCAACACTTTCCAGGTTGATGAGTCAAAACACTTCCAGATTCAAAACACGCTGAAGCGAAACCATGCCAAAACACGGCTGAACCAAAAGCGCCAGGGGTTGTGGCAAGCGATGGATGCTGCGTTGCCGCTGACGATTATTGCAAATCCTTCAGCGGAAGCTCAGAAGGCCACAAGGGATGTGACAGCAACATGGTCCTAAATCAACAGGCCAAGTCAAACTTTCATGTTTGGGTTCAGATTTATACATTATAATTCACTATAATACATTAGTTACCGTGACAACTGGACCAACCACCAACCAGACCAACTGGACAGTGATGACTCCTGCGGTGCAAATGATGTGCAAAGAGCACCAGGACCAAGCGAGCTCTCATCTCGAACTTCTCGAACGCGAACTTAAGCAGCGCCACAAAAACTCGCAGGGTGGCGATTGAAACCGCGCCGCCATGCTCAGAACACTGCCGAAAAAGTTCTGTTCTGTTCTGTTCGTTGCGTCAAGGCTTCTGGGGCTCTAACGAATCCAATGAGGAAACAAACGGTTTTGTTGATCTTTTGACGAACCAAATCAGTGCCTCAAAACGTGCCTCATGCGTCAACTTTTCGGTCGTTGTTTGGCCAAACCCATTGAGGAAACTATGTGACACGCCAGTACAAGTCATGGTCTTAGCGCAATTGACTTTTCAATCAGTGTGAGAGAACTTTACATAGGTTGATTGCTACAGTCCACGCTTGCTTCGCAGTGCAAGCTGCATTTACTTCCTTTTACCATGTTCCAAAGGAGTAGTCAGAGCCAGCTTTGAGGGACGTTGGCAACACCTTTAACACCCGTTGCACCATTGCTTCTGGGTCAACCTTTCGTGGAATCATTTCTGAAGGCTTCGTGTTCACAAGTTCCACTGGTTCCACTGCTGTGTCTGGCGCCGCTGTGACCTTGTGCAGCGACCATTTCATTGTTTTTATTCTTTGGACTCCGCAATCTGGATTTCTTTCGAGATGCCGCTGAAAGCACCGTGAAACGACATGAAGCACGGTGCAGCACTGTGCAATGGACAGGCGGTTCACCTCCCCACGTGCCTGCAGAGCATGCAGAACATGCAGAACCCCTGGGGTAAGAGTCAGATTGATGGCATTGCTGTACTCATATTGCCTGTTCTTTTCTTATGGGAAAGTTGGCGTGCTAATTCAAGAAAAGAACTGTCTCTGGAGCCCTTGTTCTCGTATCAAAACGAGAAGTCATTAGCATCGCGGTGAAGAATTTTGTGAATCCTCCATGTCTAACAAACATTTTGCAAGGGAATGATAAGGTGACTTCAGGGCCTGGACACGTCGCATGTCGGATTCGCACCCCCCATATCCAACACATGCGGTCTGGCAGCGCCTGCGCTGTCAAGCGGACATTGGGGCTTCAGGACTGGAGGTTGTTGCGCACGAGTTGCCTCTTCCAGCCGTGTCAGACGTACAGCTAAGGCACAAAATTTTTCATCCTTGTGGCCTTGTGGAGCTTTCTCGTTGGGCCCCTGTGTCTCGCAGTCTCCTGCAAGGAATCGGCAATGGCATGTGGGAAATTTCAGGACTCGAGGAATGAAGGCAAAGAAATCAACAAATGCCTTCTGCCTTGGCCCCAAAACTGATTTACATCCCTATCTCACTGGGCACAAGTATGAGCTCTCCAGCATCTCTCTGGCCAAACTGCAAGGCCATGTCATGTCAACCTTTGCCTCATCTCCAATGTTTCCCAAGAGGCTTGGAAGTGAAAGCATCAAAAACTCGGTGGAGCTTCGATTCTCTTCCGTCCTGCAGTTTTAGAAAGACTTCTGGAGCCAATCCTGACGCCAAAACGGTGAGGTGATGAGACGTTCCATGTAGCTTCCTTTTCATTTCTTGAAAGAAAACGGATTTGAAAGTGTTTTTCAAAACAAAAGAAAACCTAACGCGGTCTATACTTGACAGCAAGCGCGGGCGAACGAAAAGGATGTGGATGTGAAAGCAGGCGAAACATTCGTTGGATGTAAGTGATGTGGATGATACTCAAAGCATTGATGAGGGTAATGGTGATGATGATGATGACGACGACGACGACGACGATGATGTTGGTGATGGTGATGGTGATGATGATGATGATGATGGTGATGGTAATGATGACGACGACGATGACGAGCAACAATGACTTAAATGATGACCAACATTCTGAGGATGAGGATGCACGGTGAGGACGAACATATGGCTGGCGATGATGAAGATATATGAAGATGAGGAGGATGAGGAGGATGAGGAGGGCTATGGCTACTATTGCTACTATGTCGACAAAAAACGCGCCCGGAAAATGGAAGCCACACAGGGCCAGGAAAAGCACAGAAAATTGCACTCAACAACCCCTCGGACCTCTACTACTTGGGAGCAGTAGCACAGCACAGGAATCAAAATTGAAACTGCGGCCTCCCAAAGTAAAGGCTCGCTTCATGAAAACCCTCCTGTGCCCTCTGCCCCAAAAAAGAACATATGCTCAAGAACGGAAACAGTAGGTAGCTGACACCACCCTTCAGTGTTTTTCAAAAAAGTTCACATCCACTCAATGCTGTACTGCATCTCACAAAAACTGACCAAATCGACATCCTCAGTGTGGAAGTCGAGTCCAATTCGCCGCGCAAACTCCGCATCCACGGAGCTGTTGTCACCTCCGCGTCCGGCAGAGTTTCCCACCTGAGCGGGCCCCCCTTTGGACCCAGCCATGGCAACGCCAATGCCCGGGCCGTGGAACAGCCATGGAACCCTCTCCAAAAATCTATGCTGTGCATGGTTGATGATTATCCCTCTCTGTCTTTCACCGTCTAATTGGCAAGATTTGTCAAGCAAACACAAATGATCGCTGCGATATGCTGCAAACGTCCAGTCTGAGTTTGGGGCATAGAAACTCTGGCTGACATCAATGGGCCTGTGAAACAAAGGGCGATTTTTTAAAGATTTCTTTTTTAGTAGATCCAAACTTTGCAAACTTTGAAGCTGACGATTTGTTGAAGTCGACATCTTGCCATGTGAAGCTGGTCTGCTGAGGTGCCTGCTGGTTACTCAGCGAGGAAAGTAGTTCCCACATTCCTTGTAGACATACAATGTGATGCAGTTTTGGAAAGATAAATTTGCCTGTGACATTCTGACACAATTGATTTACTACTTCCATCTCTTTCATCCCTTTCATCTCTTTCAAACAAGGTTTCTTCCACTTTCCAATCCCTTTCTTACGCTTCTGTCAGCGAAGTCTCCGATGTTGGGTTTTCGAAAAGGGTCTTGGATGTCACCCCGTGCCTTGGCCACGGTCGATGCAGAGAGATCAAACATAGATGCCATGTGAATTCGTAGATTTGGTGTTTAGACGCCATACGATAGATTGGTGTATGTTAGATACATGATGATACATGATGATACGTAGATACCTAATGATACCTATGGCACATCATGGCATGGAGCACTCTGGAGTGAGTACCATGGAGCACCAAGCGCATGTCATAGCCATTTCACACACAGCAATGCAAACTTAGACACACGTCTATACAATCGAAGTGGGTCTTAGTGTCTCCTAGCAGGTCCTAGCAGGTCCTAGCAGGTCCCAGCCAATTCTCATGGAACTTGGTACTTGGCCGTTTTTAGTCCCCGGGGGTTCCGGACGGTCGCCACGAAGATTTGGAGGTCGACCGAGTCGACGGAGTCGCTTTCGACGAACGCGCGGAAGTCTTCGAAAGTCTGGAGCAGCTGCTCCACCTCCGCCATCATCCTGTGGTGACATGTGGTGACATGTGAAGGGACGAAGTCGGAGGAAGATGAAGAAAGTAAAGGAAAGTAAAGCCACAAAAACCACAAAGTCTTTCAGTCATAGACAGAACATATCTGAAATACCCACGAAGATGTCAAGCACCTTTCAGCAGTGCTCTGTCGTCCCGGTCCGTGCTGATTTGAGAAAACAGCGACCTGGCACAAACAGGCGATGACAGAGCAGCGTACAGCATTTAACTCATCTTTGGATCTTATTAGAAGTTTTTAGGCATTTCGTATTTTTCGCAGTCTCTTTATGTTTCTTCTGTTTTCAGCATGGCATGCTGGCACTCCAGGCACTCCTGCATACCTCATACCGAGGCCCCGGGCCGTGTAGCCAGACTGCTGCAGCCTGACCAAAAGGACCAAACCCCAAATGTCACGCTTCCGCACTTTCCGTGGCTGTTCGTGGCTGTTTGATGTTCGGTCATAGTGTCAAGATGCCCAACCGTCCGGTCCCCAGTCCTCCCAAGGATCTTTGGGATGTGGGAAGAACTCAGTTTCCAAGCAACACCTACAAAGCATTGCGCTGTGAGCAACTTGAGGGCTTTGAGAAAAATCCTTCTCTGTGCCAAGCCTCCGAAGTGAAGTGTCCTTGGACAATCAAATGCAGAAAGCTCAAACATTCGAACGCAACGTTTCACATTTTTCACATCCCATATCCAAAGGACAGGGACTCAGGGACTCACAACATCTTTGTTTTCAGTCTTGGCTTTGGGCTTGTCGAAATCAAACGCCGCCACCTTCTTCACGGATAAGGACGGTTTGCACCGGTAGAGGCACCAGCCTCTGCATCACCAAATCACAGCGTTTTTATTTGCGCCTGGCAGTATGCGTGACCATGGCGCCTTTTCGCTGCCATGGTTCTGGCCTCGGAGCTACAGTGGCGCATGTGTTCACGCCACTTTGGTTTTGCCAAATCCCTGCCATTTCTGGATATTCAGGGTATTTTGATCTATTTTGTTGTTGACGTATTCCTGACGTTGAGACGGTTTCAACTGGTAGAGTTGCTGTGTGCTGTGGCCGTGATGCCATGGCTATTGGTGTTCATTGTTTAGCAGTGTTGTCCGCAATCCCAACCGTAATTCAAGACCCAGGAACAAGCCAACATTGGCCAAGAGCTGCAAGGCCTCTCGACTCCGCTCAAGCCTCAGGCACAGAATTCGGATCTCCATGGATTTCCAGCTGTATCGGATGCAGTGCCATTTCCCAAAGGTATGAAATCGTGAATCGTTGCATCTGTGAATTCGATAAGGTGCGGTCGCGCGAGACTTTGGCATCCATGAACACAAGGGTAGATGTTGCTGCACTGTATTGCATTCTATTCTTGAAACGGGTTGCTGTGCCTTTCCAAATCAACCTGTCTGCATGATTCTGCATGTGCCCAAATGACCCAAGCTTGGCTAGGCCTTGTCATCCTTGTTGTTCCATGAACACAGGAACTACAAACAGGGTATTGCACAGGGTCGAACGGATTTGAAGGGTTGAATCTTGCAATGGCCCAGCCCAACGGCAGTGGCAACGAAGCAATGCTGTTGTCGGACTAACATCACTAGAGAAAACAGTGACTTGGCCGAGGGGGTGAAATCAAAACTGCAAACTACGGCAGGATGCAAACAAAACTGCAAAGTCAAAACATGTCTCGGCTGAGCTGAAGCCTCTAGATGTTTTTTGATAGACTCTCAGGCAAGTAGAACCGAAGTAGAACGCAACGCTGTAATACATTAGAGATGGATGTAACGTTCTGTGGATTGCCACGGATCGCTACATAGTCTGCTATGGTGCTGCTATGGTGCTGCTATGGTGCTGTGACATCTCTGAGAGTTTGTTCCCCCACACATTCTTTGAGATGCCCTTTTTTTTCACGAGCGGATACCGACGTGGAGCTTCTGGTCGCTGCGCTGAGCTGAGCTCGATGAGCTTGATGAGCTCGTTGAGCGCGAGGGTCGTGGGAATCTCGACTGCGCCAGGACACAGCCACTGCTGCCTTAACCGTGCACCATCTGTAAATCTCATGGTTCATTCTGGTGTGAAGCTTTAAAAGCTATAAGGCTATAAGTATCAACAAAAATATGTAATATTAACATATATTAAATGAACATATTTCAACATAGACTTGCAACTTCAAGACACAAACTCAAGGCTTTCCCTGGCAGGTTGTGTTTCTCCATCCAAATGTCTCAGGATGTCTCAGGGCTTGGCAACTCGAGGTGCCTCTTCAGCCGTTGCGACCCTTGCGACAGCTGTCCATCTGAAGTCTAGAGATGTCTGGGGATATCGATCTCTCTAAAAATGATGTGCCTGGCTCTCTGTGATTTTCTCATTTTCATCCCACTACAAGATACAACCAAGAACTCCTTATGCACCCGCCTCACTGCACAGCTCCAAACAACCAGCTTCGAGGAGATTCTCACACAACGCCTGCTTCGAAGCGGTCGGCGTTGAAGCAAACACAGCTCTGTGTCAACTCAGAGCTCAAATCAAAGCAGCGCAAAGAGATTCAACAAATTGATGGAAAACATGAACGTTGCGTTCAAACACTTCAATCTGTTGTCTAGTTCTGATAGTTTTGAAGGCATCTTCGACACAAAACGTGGTTTGAAAACTCACTGAATCAGGTCTCTGAAGACTAAGCGCACCAAGCACAAGTTGAATCACATTTTTACACCGATTAAACCAAGTGCATCCCAGCGATTTCATCCGAGTCACAATCGCATCGTTTTCGTCCAATGGTAAATCACCACAGCGCACAGCAGCCATTCCTGGCGCAGCAAAGTCGATAGAAAACGGCGGGTTGAAACATTTAGAAACGATATTGTTTCGGAAAACATGACAGCAGTGTCTTGGAAAATGAGCCATAAAATTCCATAATGGATTTTCCAAGAACGACCCAAGATAACCACAATTTCCGAAAAAAGAACTTGTGAACCATTTTAATGTGAAGAAACGGCAAACCATGACCACTGGCAAACCCCTGACATTCTGCCTGCTGCATGCAGAGCCCGTAATGCAGGCAGAAACGTGGAAGCCTGACACCGTGGGAGTTGGGAGGATGTCAAGTGGGATTTGAATGGCTGAGTAAATCAAATGTACATGGCGATATATCGTCAACTCTCATCTGCAAATATTGGGACATGAGCCAAATATCAAAAAACGCTTTGTTTGGGATCTATCGGCATCCTATCGGCATCTATCGGCGCCATGGGCCTCGAATCGCAAGCAGCCAACTTCTTCGGCCTCCGCCGCTTCGGCATTGCACATGTGGCGCCCGCTGTCGTTGCCCACGGAGTGGAAGAGCAGCACCGTGGCTTCTGAGGTTTCTGGGTCCGTGCTCAACATGGGCCGAACCGCTGAGGGGTCCAACCTCAGCTGTATCATACGTGTCCAAACACAGCCGCAAAAACATGACATCAGCACTATACCAAAAAAATGTATACAAATGTTATTAAATGTTTTTTGATTATGATCTCTATACATGATATCTGGATGTCAAAGCAAGTCCCCCCCTGATTTTCGCGCTCATTTCAACATCTTCCGGCATCTTTCGCTGGCAACACCATCCACTTCAACTGGGCACATGAAATTGAAATCATGGCATGGATTGCTCTACATTGACCAATGCATCTTTGTGTTTGGTCAAAGGGCCACTTCACTTTGGTATCCGCAGTGATCGCTTCACCTTGGAAACAATTTCCATCAACGGACGAGAAATGACGAAAGATCAAAACTTTTCATCAGATCTGAGGCATAAACTGCTTTGTTTCTCCTGAAACGTAGTATGATCCACCACATTCACATTCCACCACAATTTCCAAAAAAATTAGGCTCAAAAGTCGACTGCTGACTGCTGAAGAGTTCCGAAAAATCGGGCTTTGGGGTTTGTGTTTTGTAGACTTTTGGGAAGGAACCAGGCATTGGATTTTCAACATACCGCAAAAACCTGACGAAAGCGTTGATGCAGAATACGCATCGCTTCTCATTCCGGCTTCAGTGGGCACCGTGGGCACTGGTCCTTCGGCTCCTTCGAAGCTGGGCGAGGCCTGAAGAAAATGCTGAATTTCCTCTTGGTGGTTTACGAACAGGGTTTGCTTTCCCGTTTGTCAAGTTCATGAGCTGATTCTTGCACATGACATGCACAGTTGTAACCTTGAGGACCGGGCGGTAAGCGTTGTGTCATGAAATCGACAGCCATTTCATCGCACACCTCTGTAGAACATGGTCACAAGAAGGGTGTCTTGAACGAGGTCCAACTTCAACTTCGGCCTCGTCCATTTCGATGAATTCCTGGGCAGCAGAGCTGACAAATCTTGATTGCACAGCACATGCTGACAGTGGTGAAGCCGGTGGTGAAACAAGTTTGGGTCCTGCAGGCGAGTGAGAAGGCTCTTGGCTTTGCGGCGAAAACTTTCTCGCGGCCCAGATTCGCCTCAAGCGGGATGTTCTTGGAATCTGAAGCCTTGAAGATTTTTGATGTGTTTTGTTTGTACTGGTTGGGTTAAGAATGGCTAAGACCGGTTAGTTAAGACTAAGCTTCACAATAACACGCACTGCCATCAAAGGACGAATGTTGCATATTGAAACCAAGTTGCTTCCAAGCTCGTACCTCACGACATCTCAAGATTTCAACAAGACTTGGGACATATTTGGGACATCGAAGGTCGACAAGACCTGATGAACTACACGAAGCTACATGGAGCTACATGACTCTTTCATGATGTGCATCTAGAAAATTGTGCAGTCCGAATGCGCACCAGGATCCCATGATGTGGCTGAAGTTCAATGGAAGACCGCTTCGAAATTCAGGATCTTCACCTGACGCATCACTTGGTCCCATCGCCGTTGGGGCGCCCAACGCGCCACATCTGACAGCGTCCTGCAGCTTTGTCCAGAGCACCCGCCAATGCTTTCTCCAGGAAGCTGTGCCAAGAGATTCCTGAACCGCAGCTCTTATTAGGAACTTTTCGAAAGGACCACCAGGATCACATGATCAGATCACATGATGAACACATCTTGTGATAGTCTTTCAGTCTTTCTATGTCAACTTTTCACCAACTTTTTCAGCCTCCGATGTCTTTTATATCTTTTATCTTGTTTCTAGCGGCCTTGACTGGTTTTGACTGGCTTTGACAGCCCATGACAAAAAGGACAATGCAAAGCCCAAGCAAGCACTGTCCCGTCCTTGGTATGTCGAGACCGTCAAATGATTGCTGAAGCCTCCCTGGCCGACCGAATCGAATCCGAATCGAATCTGACGAATATACTTGAGCAGCCAATACTAATTATCCATAAGCACTGTGATATATATATATAGTGATACCTTAATGCCACGCAATCCTAGTGCAATACTGTTTGATCAATTGATAAGATTGATCATGTGAATCGTCATTCTAAGCACCTTTAGAGCCCGGCAAATGTGACGAGACTTGCGCCTCTGCGATGCCAGAGTGTACCGTCCCGCGAGGAAAGTACAAGAGATCCTAAGTGCAAAATCCTACCTGAAACAATTCTTTCGTGAGCAAATTCTATCAATCTTATCTGCATTCATTTTTGTCAGAAACCCTTTGGTTTCAAACCATTATCCCTGTGTAGAGATGATTTATGAATATGTTACAACGCTGACAAAACTGTCGCTGAGGTCCCTGGCACCTGGCTGCAAAAGGCACTCCATCAGCAGCTCACCCAACTCCTCCTGTCCGAATTTCCCAAACGCAAATGATGCGCGTTACACCATCTTACTGTCATTTTATACTTCTAAATTCTTTGCCACGCAAACAACGTGACTTTTCTGATCTTTTCCGTGGAAAAAACGCTGGATTGAAACCTCCTGTGTGGAAAGCCCAGGTATCGACAATCAATTGGCAAACATCACCACCAAAGCATCTGCAAACTATACATTTCGGCCAAGAAAACCCACTTCAAATCGATATCCAAACCTTGAAAACCAGGAAACTCACAACATGTGCAGCATGTCCACAGCATGTCCATGCGTTTCCTGTTGGAAATCTCTGGATGCCGTGCGTGGCAATGGGAATTCGCAGCTCGCATCATCGGGCGGGCGGTGGAGTTTCCAGTGCTTGGAACCCTCCAACTGCAACATGAAGACCTGCGGAGGTTCAGTTTCCAAGCGGAAAATTAAACTATGACAGTTGGACAACCATAGAAATATGATGGTGTAAATGGTACGTAAATGGTTTGGAGCCAGGGATCCGAATCCGCTTCAAATCCATCTCTATCTGAATTCATCTCTGTCCTAGCTTGTGTCCCTCACAGTTTGCCACTATCAGAACTTATCTTGACCTGGAACCGTCTTCAGCAAAACACCTATCTACCAAAACTGCCATACCTTCTCTTCATGACCATATAACACCTACGTAGCAGCATATCTTCATCGAACTTGTCTCTAATAGCTTGTCCTGATCAGAACTGGCCTTTATCATTCAAACTTGTCGTTATCTGAAGTAACCCTTAGGAAACAACTTATCTCCCATAACTTCTCTCTACGACAGCAGCTTATCTCTATCAAATTAACCCCCGGTAAACTTCTGTTCATCAAATTTGCCGCTTTCTTGAAGCAAACCCGGCGGCGACTGTCTGGGTCCGGGTATGGGGCGCTGGCTCTACCAGGGATCCATATCAAAGTTGGATCTCGGAAATAGCTAGTGAAAATAAGCCATAAAGTTTACATAAAAGATTCCAACAATGGATGTACCAATGTTCCAATGTTTGCCACGTATCGTCCCTATGGACTCTCTTTACTGCGCCTCCACATCGTCGTAGTGTGGTGCCAAGCCCTGTCAACCCATCGACAACTGAGTTATAATTCTGATTCATCACGATTCATGATCATTCATCTACAGAAGTTTGTGGAAGTGAAACCAGTGCAGAAGCCACATCATCTTTGGTGAAGCATGGTGAAGCTTACTGCATCTTAGATGCTAAACATACTCTGCATGCAACAAATTACAGGAGGGTCCATTGCTGAACTGACAGCTACCGACCCAACATGCCTGCTGTCCAGCTGGCGTCACATAGGCATTAGCACCTCGGCTGCTCTACAAACTGCAGCTGCTTCGCACGAAGTGGCCCAAGTGGCAAGATGTTTCGACAGCTGAACATCACCATTTTCCATCAGGTTTTCTGAACATAGTTAGCTTGGAAGAACCAATCTTCTTTGATGCAGAGTTGATCTCCCGCATACTTTTGAGAGATTGACCGAAAGTTGAAATCTCATTGATACTGAAACGGAACCAGTTGAGATGTAAGGGCCCCATCACAAAATTCACAAAGCAAGTTCAAAATGGATCTCAACAGTTTTTCGAAAAATCCACTGAGGCGTGTTCCAAAGAGAGCACCGAAACTCCGCTCCAATGCTGCCATGGTTGCCCTGACCTCGAGATCCGACCGACACAGAACACCACGAGGTCCCACGAGGTCCCAAGGCCACGAGGTCCCAGGCTGCTGAATGGAACTGCTGGGGATGAAGAACCTGGCAGAATGGCAGAGCCGACTACGATCAGTAGTGAAACGATGTTACACGGTACTGTAGTGTCTTAGAATTTCAAAACAAATGACGATGTCGTGAGAAAACGTTCACTGTATTCAGATGTATTTAGTGTATTCACTGTATTTAAGCAACAAACAGGCGTTGATAGTATTATCAGCATTACAAGGGAACTCCATTCCGTCAAAAGCTCTCTCAAAGATACGCAAGTGTCTGAGCCTATCTGCATAATACCGAAACTAAACGAAACACTGTGACAATCTTCCTCTTTGTGTTCATATCATGCTGTTTATCATCATGTTCTGTGCGCCTGAAGAGTCGCGCCGGCCTTCCAAGCCTCACAGACACAGACCACAAAATTGCACAACGTGTAAGGTCAAACTAGCATTGCAGCAAACTGCTACTATGATAGCATCCATTGCTGCATGGTTTTCCTCCGCACAGATTCGGAGTGTATCTTCGTTTCAGAGCTCTCTTTTTGTTTCGTTGTGCCTCTTGAACTTCCTGAAAGCTGGCAATCCCTGGCCCTGGCGAGAACTGTCATGAACAGGTTGGAAGAACAGCCTGCCAGTCACGGCCGATCTGCGCCTTTGTTGAGATCGATCTTCTTCCCTTCGAAACGGACCAAGTTCAGCCGTTCCTGGTAGCGCACCTGCACTGTTGCTGTGACCCTCCATGATTCTGGTAAGGCTATGGTAAGACTCTAGTGCTCTGCTTAAGAAAGATTCTCGATACGAATTAACCCCAAAAAATCTAGAAACAGCAATTCTTCTGCGCATCGGTTCACTTTGTGTCATTTCTTTGATCGTCGGCTTGGACTTTGTAGCCTTGCCCTGTCGCAGTTCTTGATCCAAGTCGGACTTCGCAAAGAGACCCTGAGGCGTGGTCCGGTGGTCGCATCATGGCAAAACTATGTCAAACTATGTCAAGCTGCAGCGGAAATGACTGTTGGAAATGTCAAAACTTCAGCCTAACAAGAAGAATGTTGAAATGTTGAAATTTCCGGTAGCCCCATGACAGCGTATGAAAACGTATGAAAACGTATGAAAACCATGAAAATTCTGACTCTGGCTTTTCGTCTGCTTCAGGATGTTTCATGGATTTCCTGACCCGGACCCATGCCTCGTAGTACTTGGGAGCACTGCGCTTCAGGTGTAAGGGCTTTTTCTCCCAGTACCTCAGCATTAAAACTTTCTCGTTGTCTTGCTCAAATTTGGAAGGCTTATCACAAACTGTATGACTACATGTCAGTGTGACAACACAATTTTTCAATCTTCGGGTCTGGTGGTCTGATATTGTTTGGATGTTTCATGTCTCGCAACGTTTTTCGAACCTCTGGTTCACGTCTGGTGCATCCTTCAGACTTCCTTTGCTGTCCCTTCTGTGTGTCGGACTCACGAAAGAAGTCTTCAGGTGTCATCGGCCAAAGGAGCCACGCCACTGCTGCCTCCACCAAAATAGGGGTTTCTACATCTCAACCGTGTCAACTGCGGTCAGTACAAAGTGGTCTCAGAGCCTACCGTTTCTTTGAACGTCGTTTCATGTGAGTGGTATCTAGGTCAAGTCTGGAACACCTTGCAATCCCGCGGGAAGATACGTCTGTTCATATCTTTTGTTCATCCTGAAAAAAACACCACTTTGGAATATGAAGGATCCCTGAAATCAAGGATGAAAGGAACAGAGACAAGTGAGACAAATATGTCACATCTTCCGACAAACCAAGATTTAAAAAAAACAACTAAGTGACATGTTTGCCCAAAAATTGCGAAACGTCTGCCTCCAGCTCCGCTGAGTAGTCATGGAGCCACGGTGCCGGCGGAGCGCTGGATCCAGCGGCTCCAGCACTGCTCCCCTCCGTGGTCTTCCCGTCCTTCGCATCCTTCGCGTCCTTCGCTTTCTGGGCCTTCTTGGTTTTGCCATCCTTGTCCTCCTTGATGACCAATCCTGGAACGTTCCCGTACGTCCCCATGCCTTCTGCCATTCGTGTCCATTCCCGCTTTTTCTTTTTCTGTGAAATGTTAGCCATCACACTCACCTGTGCATACATGTGTAGATCAGTTGTATAGTATCTGTTCTTATCAGTTTGCACTTGTCCTGTCAGGCATGAACCACTGCGCAAGGATGACACGCCACAACACGTGGGCTCCGCGCCTTGGCGTTTTTTCTTCGGCATCTCTCATCAGCGACAAAGAAGGAATGCTATCGCTGCCAAAACTGGCTGTTTGACCGGTTTGAGATGCCCAGTTGGCGTCATTTGACTCTGGAATTGACGTTGGAATAAAGCTTGAAACCAAACAACACAACATTTTTTTCGGGTGGATCCTGAGCCTTCTTGTTTTTCTTGGTCTTCTTGGTCTCTTTGGAAGTTTCTGCCCTGTCTCGCTTCCTCCAGAAGCACAAAATATTTGCCCTAGAGTTCAAGCACACTGATGATTGAAACAAAGAAAGGATTTCGAAACCTTGACACAATTTAGGTTTTGGTGACTTGGTGTCAAATCTATCGGGCGTAATGTTTGTTAGCAGGTTAGCATTCAATGCCAGTGGCTCGAGCCGATTTACAGAGGCTGCCTGGCTTCAACTCGAAATTCTCACCGTTGCTGCATCTGTCCATAAGTCGGAAGTTTGACTCCTAAACTTCTTCCGACAATACATATACATACGCATATATATATATATATTTATACGTGTGAACAAATACATACTAACATGTGGCTTCATGTCGCTTAAACAAGTTTTAGTCTCCGCCTTGGCCCTCATCAAGAAACTGATACCGTCGCTGCACATGAACAGATCTTGAGGATCAATAAGCGATAACATAATTTTCCTCTGTGCGAAACAATACACCAGAACAGACATGGGATAACAAAGACCTAATATTAGGTTTCTGGTCTAGCTATCGCTGTGGACCAGTTGCTATTTCTGTTGCTGTTGCTGCTGCCGCTACAGTGTTGGTGGTGGCTGTTGGATTGCTGTGAACCTAACCAATCGCTCGCTAAACAGAAGCATGACCGAAGGCCATCATGGAGACACGACGACAACAACCTTGGGCAAGCTTGGGAGAGTGGCAGCCAAGAGCAGGGAAGAATACTAAAAGGGGACAAAGGGGACAAAGGAAGAGAAAGGAAGCAGAAGGGGAACAAAAGGCACCTTGCAAAGCATGAGAACTGGTATGACTATTGGGAAGACAACATGAGTAGCTTGGCAGAACACAATCATTTTTCTCCAAAGCAGCGACGTGATTCATCGCATCATCCAAGCTGTGTTTTACAGCGCCAGTTTGAACACTTGCCAAATGCAAAACGGCACTTGACATCAGCTTTCGCAACAGATTGCCATTGAAAACTTCCATCATTCGACTATTTATCAACATGGGGATACCCCAATAGCTGGATGGTATATAATGGAAAATCATATTCTTCCCTGGTGCTGTGGCCACCAGTTTAGAAGGGCAATCCGTGACCTCTAGGAACGCTCCCTCCATGGCCCTTCAGAATCTGAGCAGAAAAACAACATCAACATCACCAAGAGAAAGGTCTTCGTGTTTGGTGTTGGAAGGTTACCAACTTCTCTGTTTTGATCATTTTCATCATTTTAATCATGGAAGTCCTCTTTTTTTATCTCTTTGATTGGTTTCTGAAAAGTGTTTGATCAGTTTGATCCATGTTTTCACCTCATTTCGAACATTTCGACTTCGTCTGAGACTGCTGCTCTGCCAGCATTGCAGGGTGGCAAGGTGTTGATGCTGGACTTGCTGGCAGACATCTTCGATGGCGTAATGCCCACCTGCACTGCGTTATTTTCAGAGAAGTTTCTCAAGTGCTTACATTCATTTACATTCTGCACTGCTTACATCCCAACTTGACATGTGTGTTCTACTGACAAACCGAACACCGCAGCAACGTCCAGACATGTCCAGGGTCAGTTGATTCAGAAGTGAATCCTGTTTGAAGTTGAAAGACTGCCGCTCTGCAAATGAGGCCAGAACTTGTTCATTGAACATGCCCACAATTGGCGAGATGATAATGTACCTGCAACTCTTCACATTTTGGAAGCTGATCTGTTGATATTGACGATGTTCATGGAAATCTCATCATCCTACTTTGATTCCGCCGTAACAACATGGCATCTCCGTTTTGCCATCGTTCATCATGCTTCCTCATATCTCAAGACTTTTCCATGAGCATTATAGCATGATCCCCTCATATTTCATTTCCTCATCTGGGCCATGTTTCCCATATTTTTAGCATTGTTTCAGGATTTTCCCCATGGATTTTCCCATAAACTGCTGATTTTCCCCATCCAAAATGGCCATCGTTGCTCCGCACCCCCCAAAATGGCACGGGTTGGCGATGTCCGACACACGGGAGAAGGCACGAGCTGCAGGGCTGGGGTGATGATATTTGAACCAGCCGGACGTAAATAAAAAACAAATATATATATATATAAATATATTTATTTGTTCATTTTCATACATATATATATAAATATTTCTATATAAATAAATAAACAAATAAATAAATGTATAAATATATAAATATTATATTTTATATAGAAATATATTGTTATACGATATCACATCCTGTAAAAGAAACCTGATGTGTTGATAACAACACTGTTTTTAGGGATTTGAACAGATTATACCTAACGATAGATATATCAACTGTGGAAAATATAGACAATGGAACAGACGGATTATTTCAAACTCTTGGCAATACCATGTAGATAGCCGCATATATCGAGATTAAACCTCAATCATTCACCAATCTGTTATGGTATCAAGACATTGAACGGATATGGTTATTATGGACAGTATCTATCTGATTCTATCTGATTCTATCTGTATCTATCTATCTACCTATCTACCTATCTACCTATCTACCTATCTATCTATCTATCTATCTCTATCTCTATCTCTATCTCCATCTCTATCTCTATCTCTATCGATCTATCGATCTATCTCTATCTATCTCTATCTATCTCTACCTATCTCTATCTATCTCTATCTATCTCTATCTATCTCTATCTATCTCTATCTATCTCTATCTATCGCTATCTATCTCTCTCTCTCTATCTCTACCTGTCTGTCTACCTATCTATATTTGTCTATCTATCTATATTTGTCTATCTTGTGAATCATTTCGTTGCAGTATCCATGTCATCTCTTCCTTGCAAGGCTTTAGACAGATGATCCCGTTCAGAGATATCCAGCAACAACCAGAAACATCAGGGGATGTTCGTTCCATAGCACTTTGGCTCTGGGAGCCCACATAGGAGAGGGATCAGGGTAGGGATTCAGTGCTTTAGCCATCTTGGAAACCTTTTGGACGTGGCCGTCCTCCAAATAGCTGCTCAGGGTATCAGCTGGAAATCTTGGAAGGCTTAGGGAGCCGAATCACAGACCTTTCTCCTGCTTGTGAAGGCAGAACCTTGGAGCTTGGTGGTTGTGGGAAAAGTGACCGCCACTTTTGCTGTTGAGGTGCTACCAGTGGGTTTGGCTTAGGCCATTCACACTGGTAGCGGAGCTACCGCCGTTTTCACTGAGCGGATATCCAGGGAACATCACTGTTTGAGGCTTGGTGAGACATGTCTGAAGTTTCAGAAGGAACAGAGGCTAGTCAGCCGATTTCGAACCAGTTAGCATCACTCGTTCCAACGTTTGATCCCAGCAAGGATGACTTGCAAGTGTACTCTCAGAAAGTTTCGCTGCTTCTTGATGCATGGCCTGTAGGAAGGTACACGGAGTTAGCAACCAGACTCATACTGAATTGCAGTGGATCAGCATTCAAGAAGTTGCAGCTCCACCAGAGCGAGATCACCGTGAATGAGAAGAAATCCATTCAGCGTATCGTAGAGCTTCTGGGGGGACACTGGGGACAGATTGATTTGGAACAAAAATATGAACATGCCGAACGTGCTCTTTACAGGTGTCAGCAGAAAAACGATGAGAGTGCCGATTCGTACCTTGCTCGTGCGGATATCATGTGGACTGAATTGAACAATCGATCACTAAAACTTGGAGACCTGCAAGCATATGTAACTCTCAGGGGTTCAACTTTGACTGCAGAAGACAAGAAACGAGTTTTGGTTGATGCCGATGTCACAGATGGAGGTTCACTGACTATCAAACGTGTGGGAGCATCAATTCGTATGCTTGGAGCTGGATTCTTTCAAGAAATGACTCAGGGCAAGCGCAATGTCAAACTCAAAACGTATGATCAAACTGCACTGGTAGCAGACACTCCGGAGTCTGAAGAATACACAGAAAACTTCACCTTCGCCACCGACAATCCCGAAGAGGATGAACAGTGGGTGGATGTTTTAGCTCAGGAGGGTGATGAGGACGCAGCTTTGGTTTCAGATTTTGAGTCGGCAGCAGCTGACTTACTACAGTCAGATGAAGAACTGGCTTCGGCGTACACGGCGTACACCGAAGCACGCCGGAGATTGAATGAAAAGGTCAGGTCAAGAGGATTCTGGCCGTTGCAGAGCAAAGGGAAATTTAAAGGGTCCTCAAAAGGGGTCAAAGGGAAGTTCAACAAGGGGCACAGTTCATCTAGAAAGTCGTTGCAGCAGAGAATTTTGGAATCACGATGTAGGCTGTGTGGAAAAATGGGACACTGGAAGGCAGAATGCCCATCCAAGTCCGATGCAGCCGGCAGTGCTCCGAATCGATCACCTCAAGCTCCAACCTCTTTCGCACAGGGTATCTCCATGGAAGCCGCTGTGGATGAACTGAATGCGTTGCCACTGGAGTTTTTGAACTTGCCGATGTCCGAACAAGTGACCCTTGATGCCTCTCAGCATGACATGAACCAGTATGTTTTTGCCTTAGCTGTTGAAGATAATCCCAAAAGAAAACTTTCACAAACCTTGAACCAATGGAAAAAGTCACAAGCCACCATCAGCAACCGTGCCAGGAATGATGATGAGATGCACAAAGCCCGAGAACGCATCCGAGATCGCCTGGCTCAACACCGAGCCTCACCGACTGAGCCTGATGTCCAGACATGTGAAACTGCGCCTGTATGCTTTGCCACCCATGGTAGCTACGGAGTAGTAGATCTAGGAGCCACCAAGACTGTTATCGGTAGTCAGAAAGTTGGAGAATTGATTAACAGTTTAGATCCGCATGTCAGAAAACAGGTCACTCGCTGTGAGTGTAACATCACCTTTCGTTTTGGCAACCATGGTGTCCTGCAGAGCAAACAAGCTTTGGTAGTGCCCATTTACGGTCTGCAGCTGAAGATTGCGATTGTGCCGGGGGCCACACCCTTTTTGCTTTCAAACACCCTGCTCAGGGCCATAGGTGCAGTGATTGACACTGGTAGGAAAGTTTTGCATTCGTCCAGAATAGGCAGAGCAATTCCTTTGGTCCTGACTGGTAAGGGTCTTTTCCTTTTGGATTTGAATGAGCTGGCCTGTTCACCGAATGACCAAAGCTCGAAGTTTTCCGAAGCCGAGACACACAATGTTGAATGTCCGGAACCTGCACTGTCCACCCTGGACAAGGATGTGACAAAGCCTGCTGCTGACCCGCCAACGAGCCACATGAAAGGCACATGTCCATGCCATGAAGTAGGTGTCATGAAACATGATCACACCATGGTAGAAAAGACACCCATGTCGACAACCAATAAAGTTGAGGTCTCAGGTAAAAGGTCCGTGTCAGCCGATGCAGTCAATTCCAAACCTGGACTTGCATCCGAATGCCAATGCGTCACCACAGCAACGGGTAGGTCCAAAGCTCCCAACGCCGAGACGACTCCCGGTGATTCTGTTTGCAATGGCACTGTCCAAGAGACTCCAGCAAGTGCAGGAGATCGCAGAACCGATTGTCCTGGACTTTTCCAAGTGGTCAATGGCGGAACTGGAAGCCTCTCAGATCGACTTCGGACAAGCTCAGAAGGGCAAGAGCTATGCCCAGGTATGGAACGAAGCTCAGGGCTGGGTAACATGGTTCGTGCAGCACTACGAGAAGTCCAACAAACCAGCCCATCAGAAGTTCCTACACTATGTCACCCTGAAGGTCGAGAAGGCAGAATTGACGAAACAAAAGATTCCAGTGGTCGACAATGTGGAGGCTCCCAAGAAGATCCCGCAGACCCACCAGATCCCAAAGATCAAGGCCAAAGCCAAGGGTCGATCTTCGGCCAGGACCGAGGAAACTCCATGTCCCTGGGACGATGTGGAAGATCCGAGCATCTTCGAGATGATCGACACGGAGGAGATCGAAGAAGTGCCAGTGTTGGAGCCTTTGTGGCCAAACACGTCTCAGCTGGAGGCCCGAGTGGCCAACATGGAGAATGCCTTGTCACGGGTGATGGAATTCTTGGAACAGAATCACGCGGTTCAGCAGAACAACAATTGAGGGAGCCTGATTGCCCGAGTCTCGCAGCTCGCATCACAGCTGGTGATGTGAGTGCAGATTGCCTGGTCACAGAGACCTCTGCCCGAGAAACGAATCAAGAACGAATGATCTTCAATAAGTTGGTTCATCGATACACTCAAGAACTTGAAGATGTAATCAGAAATTCTACAGGGGTAAATAACAAACAGAAGTCTCTGGATGTTTTGGAAATATTTTGCGGACCTCAAAGTCAACTTACTCACCAGTGCCAGCAACTGAAATTCCAAGCTGCTCGTTTTGGATATCAACAAGGAGATTTACAAACTGAGACAGGAAGAAGAGACATGTTCACTCAACTTGTCTGTCGGCAACCCAAACATGTGTGGGCAAGTCCAACTTGTGGACCATGGAGTGGTTTTTCTACTCTGAATGGCAGTAGATCCATGACAGCATGGGACGATTTGCAAGCTCTTCGCAAACGTCATACTGAACAGATTGCGTTATGTGTGGTTGTTTTCAGGTATCAGAGAAGCCATCTTCGCCACTTCCATTGGGAGCAACCAAGGGGTTCACTGATGTTTAAACTGCCATACTTGCAAGAGCTGCTTCATTACCTGCTTGCAGCCGACGTAGACCTTTGCACTGCCGGTGATTTGATGTGATTTGAGAGATCCTGTCAATGGTCTTCACATTCGCAAGGGTTTGACAATCATGACGTCATCCAGTCACATGCAGCAAGTACTTTCACAGTTCCGTTGCGAAGGTCAACATGATCATCAGGTGATAGAAGACCAAGTCAGGTATCATGGGGAAACCATCAATCGGTCGCAGTTCACAGAGAACTATCCTCGAAAGTTTGCTCGTCGCATAGCCCAGATCATGTGCCGGGTGAAGACCATGAAGGAGAACCCATACCGTTCTCACGAGTGCCAAGTGTTTGCGGCTGATCATCCTGAGATGCCTGCCTCAAAAAGGGCCCGGTTATCACAGACCTATCGTCCCAAGCTGAGCCGTGCCCGAGGTGTTGATG